GCTGGGCCCAGTCTACACCTCCTAACCCTCTAATCCTTTTCAGATAGGGCCACTCCCTGGTGACTGCGCATTCAAATATTTGAGCTTGTGCGGATACGGTCTTATTCAGACCACCACACTGCCTACAATTCTCTCTTACTGAGTCGAATGAGGAACTTTGTTTCTGCCTAGCAGTAAAACAACTCAATTTTAAAAGGAGCAGGCTCCCAGCACTGGGGAGGCAGAGGCAGGCAGATCTCTGTGAGTTCGAGGCCAGCCCGGGCTACAGAGTGAGATCCAGGAAAGGCACAAAGCTACACAGAGAAACCCTGTCTCGAAAAACCAAAAAGAAGCAAGTAATGCAAATGGACGTTGCTTCAAAGAAGATGCACAAGTGGTAATGTCCATTTAACCTTGAACACATCGAGCCAGACTAGGTAAATCTAAGTAAAATTGCAGTAGTTAAAGAGAAGAGCAGTAACGGGTCCTGGTGAGAGCAGTGAAGTCGGAGCCCTTGGACGTGGCCAGGGGATGGCAGTGACGCACCCCCAGGAAAAATAGTCCAGTGGTTCCTCAAAGGGCACTTACCATCGGACTGAGAATTCCATTTTCAGAAATATGAAAACATGTAACTACATAACTCATATTTAGGAAGGTTTAGCAGGGGGCTGGAGAGATGGCTCAGTGGTTAAAAGCACCGGCTGCTCTTCCAGAGGACTCAGATCAATTCCAAGCACCTACATGTTGGCTAACAACTGTCTCTAATTCCAGTTCCTGGGGACCCAGCGTTCTCTTCTAGGCTCCTTGGGCACTGTACACATGTGGTACACTTACATTCTTGCAGGTAAACACCTATGCCCATAAAAGAAATATTTAAAAAAGAATGCTTAGAGTGAGAATATGTATTATAATCAAAAAGGTATTCAAATTTCCATCCTTTGGAAAGTTGTTAAATAAGATACAGTATGTTTGGGTCATAGCCTGTTGCTAAGCAACAAAGTGAATGAAGTGCTGCTGTCGTAGGCTACAACTTGGGTGAAGTTTGGAAATGTAAAGTTAGACAGAACGCAAACTTGATGAAAAGCCGTATTGCATGGCTCCATTTACACAGTGTCCCTGAGTGGCAGTCCACATACATAGATTTGTGGTTGAGTGCTGGGATTAAAGGTGTGCGCCACCACCGCCCGGCAAGAGGATGCTATCTTTAATCCAGGTGGAGATAATGAGAATTGGTTGGATTACCAAATGTACTTTTTCTTTTTTACATGTTTTTTCAAGACAGGGTCTCACTATGTAGCTTTGGTGGTCCTGGAACTCACTCTGTAGACCAGGCTGGCCTCAAACTCACAGAGATACCCCTGCCTCTGCCTCCTGAGTGCTGGGATCAAAGGTGTTAGTCATTGTGCCCAGCTACCAAACATATTTTGAATTTTGAATTAGCAGGTTTTGCAAAGTGCTTGAGATATGAATTGTGAGGGAAAAGGGAGTCAGGAGCTGCTGTGGTACCAGCTTCCAGTCCCAGCACTCTGCTAGGAGGAAGCCAGCTGGGCCTGTGGAGTGAGACACTGTCTTAAAACAACAACAAAATGACTATGATGTTTGTTTTCAGCAACTGGCATTATCCTTAGCTGAGACTTACACATGCCTGGCTTGGATGTTTATTGAATACTGTGTATCTCTGAACTGGAGGAGAGATTTTAAGGGAGGAAGGATTGCTGCTGCTCCTTGTCTCAGAGGTTTCTATCAGCACACTGGCTCTTTTGCTTCTGGGCCCTCGGTGAGACAAAAAACCATGGCTGGAGCATGTGGAGTTGGGTGAATCAGACAGGGAGACAGGAAGAACTAGGGCCAGACCGACTTTTTATGTCACACCTGGTGGAGTGACCTACTTCTGCTTCCTCCAAACAAGTTCCACCTCCAGGTCCACTGTCCAGTCGTTAATCCATCCATGTGTTGATCTTGATTAGGTCAGAGCTCTTGTGATCTGATCACACTCAACCATCAGATCTACCAGCTGAGGATCAAACTCAGTGGGGAGTTTGATGTCAGAGCCAGGAAGAGTTGCTTGTTAAATTAGAACATGGTAATTTGTTAGCATGTTGCTTGGGTTTTAGGCCATTAGGCTGAATGAAACCACCTAAGAGTAGATGAGGCAGACAAAAAGAGGTCTGAAGACTGAATAAGCCTTACCCACTCCATTGGTTCAAGGGGAGAGATAAGAAAACCCCGAGAGTGGTAGTATCCTCTAGGAGACTGATCTCAGGATGAGTGGATCAGCTGTGAAAAGGTAAGTACCGAGAAATGAACTTGAGATCTAGATTTTCCTGACTTTTCCTCTCCCTCTGCTCACTGCTTCTCTCCTACCCACTTTGATCCTTGAGATAGAACCCAGAGCAGCCTCATGAACCACTGAACCATATCCCTAGCTGAATCTTCCTTCTACTGGTTGCTAACATACAGAAATACAGGTGGAGCTGGGGTAGAGCGTTGTTCTGCAAGCCTGAAGGCCTGCATTGGATCTGTGGAACTCATGTGAGGTGGAGGGAGATAAACTAACTCCACATGTGGACCGTGTGGCACACCCACCCTTACCCTCACGTCTCAGCCACACGTAATAGTAACAACAACAATATAGTTATCAAAACATGCTGTGGTGGTATTGTGTTCCCCAAAATATTGTGTACTCTAATAAATTTATCTGGGGTCAGAGAACAGACAGCCACTAGATACAAAGGCTAGAAAATGGTGGCACTCACACCTTTAATCCTAGCATTCCAGAGATAGAAATCCCTCTGGATCTCTGTGAGTTCAAGGCCACATTGGAAATAGCCAAGCATGGTGACACACGCCTTTAATCTCAGAAAGCCAGCCTTTAATCCCAGGGAGTGGTGGTAGAAAGCAAAAGATATTTAAGGCGTGAGGACCAGAAACTAGAAGATTTTGGCTGGTTAAGCATTCAGGCTTTTGAGCAGTAATTCAGCTGAGACCCATTCCGGATGAGGACTCAGAGGCCTCCAGTCTGAGGAGACAAGACCAGCTGAGTATCCGGCGAGATGAGATAGCTGTGGCTAGTTCTGTCTCTCTGACCTTTCAGTATTCCCCCCAATAACTGGCCTCGGGTTTGATTTTATTAATAAGAACTTTTAAGAATCCTTCTACAACATACCATCAACCTTGCTAAATTACCTGATGAATTCAGTGCTCTATAATGATAGTTCTGTATACGTATTTCTTTTTCTTAGAACATTTTTGTTTTTTCCTGGCTTTTTGAGACATAGCCTAGCTGTCCTGGAATTCACTATGTAGACCAGGCTGGCCTGGAACTCACAGAGATCTGCCCTGTCACACCTGGCTTTTTTCCCCAAGAACTTTTTATTTCCTTTCCGGCCTGCACGCTGCCTGTGACCTCTGGGACAGTGTAGTAAGGAAGTGAGCGCAGCAGGCATCTGCTTTTCTGTTTGCAGAAGGAAAGCGTCAGCAGTTTACAGCTCAGTGGAGGCATTGTAGGTGCCCTCATCAGTTCCTTCTACTTCCGGTTTGTGCGAGTTAGTGTGAGAACCTGTGGGTGTTTTTTCAGCTCCGTGCTCTGTGCTCTGTGCACAGTGAGTTGATTGTGTTTTTTTCCCCCCTTTTTTTGGTTAATACCAGATTGGTATTGGTTGAATTTTCAAACATTAGAAGAGTCATAGTAATAAATTGGTGCCTTGCATTTGTATGTCACTAATGTGACTGAAGTGGTTGGAGTTTGCATGTAAAGTGTCCAGAGGGCGCTCGTGTTAAAGGCCTTGTCCCTAGCTGGCGACATAGATTTAGGGAGGTGACTGCATCACGAGGGCTTTGATGTCATCAATGGATCTGTTCACTGGTCAATGCATAGTTGGTCATTACTTAAAAAGGGTGGAAAGCAGGAAGTGGGTCCTGGTTGGAGGAAGTAGGTACTGAGCAGGGGGGCAGCATCCCTGTGTAGGTCGTCCTGCTCATCCCACTTCCTCCTTCAGGAGCCGGCACGAAGCAGCCTCCCTGTCACTGTGGGGCTGTCTGATCTGCCTCATCATAGGGCATAGCAATGGAGCCATTGGACAGAAGCTAAAACCTGACACCATGACTCAAAATAAATAATTCCTCCCTTAGTTTATTGCAAGTATTTTGTCAATGACAAAAAAGAGCAGCTTATCTGTTACTGTTTCAATATATGTTTGCATTAGTGAGATAATCCTATAATTTACTAATGTAGTGTCTTTGCAGGTTTCGTTTTCATGGCTTGGCTCACTGGCCAGTGAGCCCCAGGGCGCTCCTTTCTCTTTCCTTCTCTGCTCTGGGATTTTAAGCAAGTGTACTATGCCTAGCTTTTTATGGGGACTGAAGTCAGGTCTTTATGCTGGTGCCTCAAGCTTTTTTCAGATTGACCTATCTCCCCAGCTCCAAGACTAGGTCTTGTTGACTTATTGATCACTTAAAAAAGTATGTTGCTCAGGTTCCAAGTGTTTGAAGGTCCTCCTGTTGTCTTTCTGTACTGATTTCTGGTTTGTTTCTTTGCAGTTAGAGAACATACAGACTCTCAGTTCTTTGAAGCTCGTTAAGACTTGATATGTCATGGAGGTTATGGTTTATCGTGGTAAACTTCTGTGTGCGTTTGAAGGAATGCCTGTTCTGCCACTGTGGAGAGGAATGTTCCATGAATGTTGTTGACTAGATCCCTAATTGTTTGTGGTTGGGCTCTGTTTTCTTGGGTACTGTCTAGTTGTTCTACAAATTGCTGATAGTGTGGCACTGAGATCTTGACTAAAGTGAAATTTGTTTACTTTTCCTTTTAGTTCTGTCAGTTTTTATCTTTGCTGTTTATAGTTACGATTTTGATGCATAGACATTTAGTGTTGTTATATTTTTTCTGGTGGATTAGTCCTTATTATTACACAATGACCTCTTTTTTGCCCTCTGATAATCTTTGCTCTAAATTCTACTTATATCTGATATAATATATAAAAAGTAATTTTCTTTAATTTTAATTAATTTAAATTTAGGCACATGTGGCTGGTGGCTGTCATATTACTGGAAGGTGGAGGCAGCTATGACACAAATTTAATGAAAAGGTAAATTTTATAGTATGTTAAAGATGTCAAGAGCAGCGAGTTGATTAGCTGGAAAGGGGAGATTGAGACTGACGGAGTGGGATAGTTGACTTTGAATTGGATAGTCAGCAAAGAGATTCTTGAATATGACACCTGAAAAGAAAACACAGTTTTTAGAGTGAGAATTACCAATGCTAATATCTTATGGGAAGAATATTTCAAGGGTGGCAGGGAGGCAGGCCATTGAATGAACTTGAGCTTTTACTCTGAACGTAAACCCCTGATCCATGCTGACTGGGTTTTGTGAAGATTACTGTGGCTGATATGTTGAAATAGACTCTAGGGCCTGTGCTGCAGTGGGGACAAGCTAGGGGACAGGAATATAGGGGCAAGTTAGGGTAGATTTTGGGAAAAATATCAAGGCATTTAGTTTTGGAGGTTTTAAAGAGATGATTGATTTTAGAGATGATATGTTGGAGCTGTTTATTAGACATACCCAAGCAGAGAAAACAAGTAGACTGTGGATGTACTCCAGATCCACAAGTCCCTCCCCTTGTGGAACTTAATCCTACAGGATAGGATAGTAGGCACATTGGTAAATAAGCGCAGTAAGCGAACAACATACTAGAAGATAACAAACACGTAGGCAGAAACTCCAAGGAAGAAATGAAGTATGGTTTTGAGGGGAGTGCGGATGCAGCTCAGTTAGTAGAGTGCTTGCCCAGCATACACGAAGCCCCGGGGTTTGATCCTGGCACCACATAAAACTGGAGGTGGAGGCAGGAGGATCAGAGGTTCAAAGTCATTCTTGGATGTATAGGGAGTGCAAGGTCACCTGGGCTACGTGAAAAGAATTGTTGTATTGAATTCACAATATGGTCACATTTGAGTAATAATAAGGTGGTGAGAAAATGCATTTTATAGATACCTGGTAGAAAAGTGGGCAGAGCGAGCCAGAGTGTAAAGGGTCCCAGGTTGGAGCATGGCTGAAACGTTTGAAGAGGAGCAAAAGAGCCAGGAGGCTGGATGTGCTTCACGTGGCAAGTCAGGGGCGGTTAGGGGACGGTGGACCCTGATGGCAAGGGTCTGCATGATGGGCTACTTTAGTGGCGCTCCATCCTGAGTGAGATGGGAAGTCAGGGATGGTTAGCAGAAGGATGTGTCACCCGACCCGTGGATTAGCTGTCGCTGCCGGTGTTAAGTAGCCTGAAAGAAAAAGATCGGAAGTGGAGTGATGGGTAGTGCAATCTGGTAGAAAGGCTGTGATGTCAAGTCTGGGGTGACGGCAATGGAGGGAGGGGAGCACATTTTAGGAACTGCATTGCCAGGTTGTCTTTCCACCTGGACGAGAGGCAAGGATTATTCCAAGATTCTGACCTGAGCATCTAGAAGGTTAGAGTTCCATTAACTGAGATGGAAGAACCAGGAGCGCAGGTTTGAAGGGAGATTGGGGGCTCAGTCTCGGACAGGTCAAGTTTAGGATGCCTCTTAGATATCTGAGTAGAGGTGGTCAATGGGTGTTCTGGTCATGTTTATGGGCCCCTTTATGCCTAAGAGATTAAATAAGGATATTAAAACAGTACATTCTTATTTAGAACTATGTTAGGCTGTATTGTGATTTTAGTTTTTAGCGTGTCCAACCCTGACAAACTGGAGTGCTTTGGGGATAAACGGACGTGTTTTGGCCTTGCTGCCAGAGTCAGTGGCACCTAGAGTTACACAGAGCTGTCATTCCGTCTTAGAAGTGGAAATGTAATTATGTAGTCTGAGTGTTTTTACTTGCTTTCTATTTTAGGTCCTATTACTACTGGATTTGCAAGATTTTTAATACAATTTTTTCTTTGAATTATGATTTAAATGTCAAAAACCTTTAAAATTTTTTAAAAAGGGCAATATTTTAGTTTTGGAAGTCAGAATGCCAAGGAAAAGGAAAAATCTTGGGGGCAATCCTTTTCGGAAGACTGCAAACTCTCAGGAAATTGTCGTATCCCGTGTTGCTAGTCACGAGGAGCCAACCACTACTCTTCCTGCCAAGTGTGAGACAAAAATTGATCAGGAAGAACTCTTCACCAGTATCTCAGAGATGTTTTCTGCTCTGGATCCTGATGTAGTGTATTTGATGCTTTCTGAATGTGATTTTAAAGGTGAGAAAAGTTTAGTTTGAATCCTTTGCATCTTATAAGAAGACTTCATGTTCTATACCATGATGAATAGCAATGCAGAAAAATGATACTTTGTTTACCATATGTTAAGTATCTCCCATAGACAAAGGTATTAAGTTTGGTATCACTAGAGACTTGAAAAATAAAGATGCTTTCCACTGTAAAGAAATGTACTGTTGTAGATGTAAGAGGCATGAATACAAATAGAATCTATACTTTATTCTCTCTTATCTCTAGACAGGTTGGTGCTATTAACATCTTTGAGTTTGTTTTCCTTATTTGTTAATGAGAAATAACAGTATGTATTATATAGGGTAGGACTTTTTTGGTGAGGATTAAAGGTTTATTTTGTTGTTTGATTTTGGTAAAGACTTCAGTATAGTGTACTATAACCTGTAATAAATTGTTTAGAAGTATGTTTGTAGGCAAAAAGAACTCTTAAGTTGCCTGAGTGGATGAAAGTTAATATTGTTTTTGGCTATGGTTATTATAAGATAAGCTCATTCTAGATTTGAAGGTCTTGCTAATGCCTGGTAAAGTGACATTCTACATCTTTGTGTGAGCTGCAATGTGAGCATGTCTCTTCTGTTATGATACGTACCAAAGCCCAGGGTTCATTTGGTGCTCAGAAATGATAGCAGGTAGTGTGCTGTAACTAATATACTTATTTCCTAATTTTGTTGTCTTTAAATTTTATTTGTAGAACATACATGTATAAAGCAGTGGGGAATTACAACCATATTATTCTATGTCCTAACAGACTCATTTCTCTTTTTCAGGATCTCCTGTAGACCTTCTTTGTAAACACTTGATGTTATGAATACTTTGAATAATAGCATTGATGGCATTTTATAGTCTGCCTTTTAAAACTTAGTATAATGAGAAAGTTTTCAGTGCTCTTACACATTTCTCTTTATAACAAGCTTTATATGTTCCTTTGGGTGGTTTCCCAGTGCCCCAGTGAGTTGTATTCTAATTTATTTATTTCTCTATAAGTTTCTCATGAATCTTATTACAAAGAGCATTTCAGTGAAAGTGGCCTTTTGTTTCTTTAGCTTCTCTTCTTAGACCCAAAGCTTTATTTCTTGCACCACAGGTTAAGAATAATTTTCTGGCCAGGCGGTGGTGGTACATGCCTTTAATCCCAGCACTTGGGAGGCAGAGCCAAGCGGATCTCTTTGAGTTCGAGGCCAGCCTGATGTACAGAGCGAGATCAAGGACAGTCAGGGCTACACAGAGAAACCCTGTCTCGAAAAACCAAAAAAAAAAAAAAAGTTTTCTGGGGCTAGAGAGATGGCTCAGTGGTTAAGAGCACTGACTGCTCTTCCAGAGGACCTGGGTTCAATTCCCAGCAACCACATGTCAGCTCACAACTGTCTGTAACCCCAGTTCCAGGGAACCTGATACCCATGGCAAAATACCAATGTACGTAAAATAAAAATTAATATATTAAAAAAAAGAATAGTTTTCTGGTCTTGGAAATATACTGCTAAATTACCTACCAGTGAGGTATGCCGGGATGTAACACCACCACAGCCTTCTCAGCATTGTGAATAATTATCTTAAGGTTTTCATAGGAATAAAATTGTGCCTTTTCTTAAGTTTTTAAAGTAAAGAATAATGTTGAATATTTTTATATTTCAGGTTTTCTCATATAAATTATTCATTTAGTTTTTAAGATTGTATATCATAGTTTTAGTTTTTCTAGCAGTCTGTTTAAGACTTCTTTCTAATGATAAGTACCTCTGTATCTTGGTATTGTACTTTAGACGGCTGCTCTTTATAAATACGCTAGTTCTCTGGTTGGTCATTTTTGGTTTATCTGCTGTGTAGGGTTTTGGCTTTTCTTCCGCTTGCGTTTTCAACCCTGTACTTTGTCCCGGTGTTCCGGCTTCTTGTCTTTGCAGTCTTGCTCCGTGCTCCTCACTGACCTCTCCGCCAGGCTCGCCCTCCAACCCTCTTTGTTTTTCTCTTAAGGGAACATTAATTGGGTGCTTGCTAGGTGCCAGTCCTTGGGCACGGCACTTTTCATGGATTATCTCATTTAACCCCACAACAACCTATGAGGTAGGTGTTTTTATTATCCCCGCATTACAAACAAGAAGGTCAGCTCAGGGAAGTTAGCTGGCTTGTTTGAAGTGTCATACCGAGCACGTAGAGATTGAATGATAGTGTTCTGACTCCACAAGAGAGCTGAGTCCTGTGTACGGTGCTTTTTCCCTGTTTATCTTCCTTTACACAAAACAGTACAAAGCGGAAACAAAATAAAAAAGACCTCCAAATTTCACTTGCTTAAAGATTCCTTTTTTCTTTTCTTTTCTTTTTTTTTTTTTTTCCTTCTTCGAGACAGGGTTTCTCTGTGTAGCTTTGGAGCCTTTCCTGGAACTCACTCTGTAGCCCAGGCTGGCCCCGAACTCACAGAGATCCGCCTGCCTCTGCCTCCCGAGTGCTGGGATTAAAGGTGTGCACCACCACCGCCCGGCAAGATTCCTTTTTTCTTGTGCTGCCTGTTGTCAAACCCGGGGCCTCAAGCTTTCTGAGCAGCGCTCTGCCGCTGAGCAGCACCCTGGCTCTCTGTGTGGAAACCTTACGGCGCTCTTACTTGTGTTACACCTAGAGCTCAGCATTGGAGTCAGACGCAGAGGTCTGCTCCGTTACTGTGTCCCTTGGGTCCAGTTCCTAATGCTTCGTTGAGCCTCAGTTCCTTGATGCTTTCTAGAGTGATAGATCTTCAGTGTTAATGGAAGACTCAGTGAGGTGATCTGTAATGCTCCGTGTCCAAATGCTGTGGCTGGTAGTTTTCCTGCCTACATTCCCTTAGAAAACCAAGTGTGACATCCAGGACCCTCTCAGTTCTCGTCGGTCTCCTCCTGTTTTATCTCCCTCCTTTATCCATTGCACAGAACTCTGGGAGCTAACTCTCTGCCCAGCTTCTCTGAGTACTTGAAACAGGTTTTATATTTTCTTCTTGAGACAAGGTCTCATTGTGTAGCCCTCTGCTGTCCTGGATCTCTCTGTAGCCAGGCTGGCCCACAGAGATCCGCCTGCCTCTGCCTTCCGAGTGCTGGGACTAAAGGTGGTTTTGGATTTTCCAGCTTGGCTTTAACTTTCGCCCTGTTTGGCAATTTGATTTTTAATCTTCTGATCATATATTACTTTATGTGAAATCTTTCCTATCCTCCTATCATTATAGTGTTTCTACATTATTAGAAGTATACACTGCTTAATTTATATTATGATATAATAGTTTAATGTACATGTCTTTATAGTCCATTTGAATTTTATAAAATCCTTTGTATTAAAAATATGTCTTCATTTTTGTGCAAAGTTTTTCTGATGCATATATTTTTTATATTGTGAAAAACATAGTGTGGACCATGTAAATGAATAGATTTACTAAGAGAATACATATTTAAAATATTTTATCCTTAATAGGACATCCAGTGGGTAAATAATTGTTGAATGAATCAGCTGACTTTAGGACCTTTATAAATGACCCTAATATATATAGTCTTTGTTTATACTCATTAAACTGATCAAAGATTTTTAGTTGATAGTAGTTTATTACAGTTTGAAAGAACACCATTCCATGGCTCTGTCTCTGATACTTATCTAACGTAGATTTTGATTTACTAGAGTAGTGTTAATTTTCAAAAGATGACCTGGATACTGATACATTTTCAGTGTATATATGTATTTTTGCTGTTACTCTTATTGTTCTCGTGCAGTTGAAAATGCCATGGACTGTCTGTTAGAATTATCTGCAGCGGATGCCAAGATGGAAGACTCCCCTTTACCAACGGCTGCTTGGGAGGATGAGCCCGGCGCCTCAGGAAGTGCGGTGATGGAGATGGAGATGCGGCCCCCTGCAGAGGAGAGTGAAGACTCAAAACTGGATTCCTTTTTGGATATGCAGCTAACTGAAGACTTGGATTCCTTAATACAGAATGCTTTTGAGAAACTGAATTCTTCTCCCGATGACCAAGTATATTCATTTTTGCCTTTGCAAGATGCTAAGAGTTTTAATGACCCTTCTACCTTTATGAATTCAGATTCAAGTGGTATGCCTTCTGTTCTTTCTGTACAGAATACGGGGTCAAACAATGAAGTTCTCCAGAATCCTGCTGCTTCACTAGGTTCAAACCCACTAACTTCACCTTCGGTTTTGAAGGAGCCTGAAAGTTTTCCGCAGGGGAGCACGCCGGCATTAGAAGGGAGCTTCCCCGAAGACTCTCCTCTCGCTAGCTCTTTAAATCCAGCAAATGGCTCTGTTGGGGGTTGTGGCAATTTTAACCAAAGACCAAAAGGCCTTTTAGAACCGGAGTGTCCTAGTGCACAGCGTTCTCAAGCCCTCGTAGATTTGGGTTCCAGTGAACCTCCGGTTCCTTCAAATCTTCCTCTGCAAAGTCCAGGGCGTGACTTAGCAGGTGCAGATGGGGAGCACAAGTCTGCCTCTGTGCCTGATGTTTTTGTACCCTCTGAAGGATTTGGTTTCAAGCCCCACAAACATCCTGAACTGCCACCAAAGGGGAAGGACATGAATTACTGCCCAGTCCTCACCCCTCTCCCTTTGCTCCTCCCCCCTCCGCCGCCTCCACCTATCTGGAACCCCATGATTCCTGCTTTTGACCTCTTTCAAGGCAACCATGGCTTCGTGGCGCCTGTTGTGACCACAGCTGCACACTGGAGACCTGTCAACTACACGTTCCCACCCTCCATCATCTCCCACACTTCCCCCACGAAGGTGTGGAGGAACAACGAGGGAGCAAGTGCTTACCAAGTGCAGGAGGCCCCCGTGGCCCAGCCCGCCAGGAAGAAGACCACAGCCTACGTGGGCTTAGTGCTCGTGCTTCTCAGAGGGCTGCCGGGCTCGGGGAAGTCCTTTCTGGCAAGGTAGGAAGTTTGATTGGCATCTTCTCGAAAGGACAATGCATGAATTTGTACAGCTAACGTGAATATACAGAACACTTTGTAAACAGGTGGTTAATGATGCAAGTATTTTTTCGTTGCCATTTCTTCTAAGATAATATTCGTTAGCTGGGTAGTGGTGGCGCATGCCTGTGATCCCAGCACTTGGGAGGCAGAGGTAGGCAGAGGTAGACAGATAGACTCTGAGTTTGAGGCCAGCCTGATCTACATACTGAGTTCCAGGACAGCTAGGGATGTTACACAGAGAAATTCTGTCTTGAAAAACAAAACGAAAAAATACTCTTCTAAAAGTTGTTGTTGAAATCTTTGACAGACAAAAGAAAAAAATTAAAGATAGTTTTAAGATCCTGAGACTATGAAATACCTTTCTGTGGATGAGAGCTAATTTGAATGGGAGAAAGACGACTTTAACTTTGTTTATGGGGTATAAAAGCCAGACTTGAAAACTAAGAAAAATTGTCAGGCATGGTAGCGCACACATTTAATCCTAGCATAGATTTCAATCCCAACACTCAGGAGGCAGACACAGGAAGATACCTGGGTTCAAGGCCAGCCTGGTCTACAGAGCAAGTAATATGCATAGAAACCCTGTCTCAAAAACAAAACAAAACAAAAAAACAAACCAATAAAAGAACAACAAAAATAAAATGCCTCACAAAAAAAACAAACAAAACATGATTATAAGGAAGAGAGATGAATAGTAGTTATCACACAACCCAAGGATTTTAAACTTTTTACTTTTGATTTTTGAGACAGGGTCTCACTCACTGTGTAGCCTTGATCTTATTTTACAGACCAGGCTGGCCTTGAACTCACAGAGTTCTGTCTCTGACTCCAGAGTGGTCGAATTAAAGCTTTATTTAGTTGGAAATACAATTCCTTTGCTCATGTTTTCCTGCCAGTTTTGTAGTTTGCATAGGTCGCTAGTGCTTTGATGTGGGAGACCAGAATCCAGGTTAGAAATAGCCCTGTAATTATGGCTTCAAAGGTATTCGTTAATAGTTCCTCTCCAGAGCCCTTGGCCTTTAAACTTTAAGATATATTTGCTTTTATTCCTCCCGAATTTGAATTTATTTTTGTAGCCATTGACTTTCCTTTGATTTAGCAATAGCATGGTGGGAGGCAGTGTGTTCTGAGATGGAGGGCCTTGTATCCAGTGTGTTCTCAAACCCACAGGTACTGTAGCCAAGGTCATGCATTTCTGTACTCCTGCCTCTGAACTCTCAAGGGCTGGGATCACAGGTGTGTGCCATCATAGCTGGTTTATGTGGTAATAGGCATCAAACCCAGGACCCTGTGCGTGGTAGGAAACCATTCTACCAATTGAGCTACATCTCTAGCCCCAATAATAGCAATATAAAGTAATTTAATGTTACCTTTTTTCTTTCTTCGAGATAGGGTTTCTCTGTGAAACAGTCCTGGCTGTCCTAGAACTCACTCTGTAGACCAGGCTGGCCTTGAACTCACAGAGATCTGCGTGGCTCTGCCTCCCGAGTACTGGAATTAAAGGCTGTGCCACCACCGCCCAGCTGTTACTTATATTTTGTATTAAAAGTATGAATATAAAGTCAGTTACGGCAGTTGTTCGTGAAATGAATGGGAATGAAAGTAGTACTTTGAAAGGTGATAGATCGTAGAGCTAGGTTTCAGGGTCAAAACCAAAGTGTGGTTTTGAGAGAGGGAACAGAAGTCTTTGCCATAAAATAGGAGCTATCTATCTGTTTATAGAAATAATTAAGTTAGCATTAGCATTTGACATGAGGAAAATCTGATGGAACAGCAAGGTTTTTGGATTTATTGGAAAGGTTATGGATGGATATCTTTTTTTTTTTATGTAATTTTCTTATACTGTAAGTGTAGAAGACAGAGGCTAAGAATTGATCATGGAGGACAGAGATGTTGAGAAAAGCTGGAAGGGACCCACAGTGTGGGTTCACCTTTTTTCTCTTATGTAAGTGTGTGTTCTCTTATGTAAGTGTAGGCCCATGTGTGTATTTGCAGGTACATGTGTGGGCATGTGTGGAGGCCCAAGGTTAATTTTGGGTGTTTTTCTTAATTGCGTTCCCCCTTTTTCATTGAGTCAGGGTCTCTCAGTTGAACCCAGAGCTTGCTGTGGCAAGTCTGGCTAGCTAGCTTGCTTCCGGCATCTCCCGTCTCCCTCTTCCAAGCACTGGAATTACTGGGAGGCTGCCGTACCCACACAGCATTTTTCCATTGGTCCTGGACATCTGAACACCCTCCATGCTTACGTGACCAGTAGTTTATGCTCATGCAGCTTTCTTTCAGAGAGCTCAGATCCATGCATGTTGAGAAAGGAAAAGGGCACCAGCTGGGCTGGTCATGCCTACATTCTCAGCACTGGAGAGGGGAAGGCTGCAAGATCAAGTGTTCAGGGTCACCCTTGGTCAATTCGTAAGTTTGAGGCCAGCCTGGGATGCGTGAGACCCTGTTTCATAAAACCAAACCAAACTGTATTCTGAGTAATTTGTTTAAAGCAAAATAGACCTATCTTGGCTTAGTTTTTTTTTTTTTCCCTTTCCAAGAGTTGAACTTTTGCTTAGAGAATTTCCAGTGTAATTTGTTTGAAATTTATTGTTCCTTTAAATATTATTACTTAAATTTCTATTTGAATTATGACCATAAAAGAGAATTTTGGAAAGAAAATTAATGAAAATAATCCCTTTTGTCATTCGTAGGACTTTGCAAGAAGATAACCCAAGTGGAGTCATTCTTAGTACTGATGATTATTTTTATATAAATGGACAGTACCAGTTTGATGTAAAGTACTTAGGAGAAGCCCATGAGTGGAACCAGAATCGAGGTAAGAGCAGGTGTTAGGGTCTGCATAATGTTAAAAGTAGTATAAAGAGGAAGTTTTCTTTAGGATTTGTTTTTTGAGAGACATAGCACTTTCAAAAACTTTGTTTACTCATGGCTTGTGGTATTTAACACATGCCACATAAATGTGCTGTCTCTGAGCTATGGCCAGCCCTAGCCCTAAAGAATTTGTAATTAGCCAGGTGTGGTGGTGCATGCCTTCAATTCCAGCACTCCAGAGGTAGAGGCAGGAGGACCTCTGAGAGGCCAGCCTGGTCTACAGAGTGAGTTCCAGGACAGCCAGGGGCTATACAGAGAAACCCTGTATCAAAAAACAAACAGAAAGAATTTGTAATTAAAATAAACTAGGATAATCCCAGCACTTGGGAGGCAGAGGCAGGTGGATCTGAGTCTGATGCCAGCCTGGTTTACAGAGTGAGTTCCAGGACAGCCAGGGCTACACAGAGAAAACCTGTCTCAAAAAACAAAAAACAAAAAACAAAAATGCAAAAAAGAAACACAATAAAATTTTGGGGCAGGAGGACATGTGTTCAATTCTCAGCCCCCACAGAAGAGTCTTGTAACCTCAGTGTGTTTGTAACCTTAGTGCTGAGGAGGTAGGGACGAGGAGGGCCCTGGGGCTTGTTGGGCAGCCAGTCTAGGCAGATGGGTGAGTGCCAGGTTTATTGAGAGACCCTGCCCCAAAAGGAAGAACAGCACCTGAGCTGGGCAAGGCTGACACATGCGCTGGGAGGCAGAGCAGGTGGAGCTCTGTGAGTTCAAAGCCAGCCTGGGCTACAGGTCTACAGAGAGACCCATGTCAACCTCACACTCCTGTATGACACACACACACACACACACACACACACACACACACACACACACACACATCTCCCTCTCTTCATTTTGTGGAGAGGATTAGAATGTTTATGTTTCATTTAACCAGCGGGGATCTTGTTGGAAATCAGTCTTTTCTCCTAGTGTCTCAGTAGTGAAGAAAAGGACAGTTGTCCGTGCGTTCTGGTCTGTCCTCTTCCTCCAGGTTGTCCCCCCCCCCATCCCCACGCAAGCTTTATTTGTCAGAACACAAACAAAGTATCACACAACACTGGCCATCTTGGAAATTGGTGACCCTTATTTTTATTACCTAGCCATGGCCCCTCTCTCTGTCTGTCCGCCTACCAGGAAGTCTAATGTCTAGACTTTAAACACCATGCCCATTCTGTATTTAATATTATTAAAATGGTTACATTTTGTATTGTATTTTTCAGCAAAAGAAGCATTTGAGAAGAAGGTATCTCCAGTAATCATAGATAATACAAACCTCCAAGCATGGGAAATGAAGCCATATGTTGCTTTGGTTTGTACCATAAGTTTGTAATATTGGGTTTGGAGTCATTGAAGGGATGTTAATTTCACCAGTGCTTCTTGGTTTGCCTTGGTTTGGGTTGGTCTTTGGTGAAATGAGAAGAGGAAGACAACCAGTTTGGCTGAGCTTTTCTGTACAGCTAAGTTTACTCAGCTTGAAAATTCTGATGTTCAAATGTTTTTTTCTTCCCTTCCCTTTTTTCTCCCCTCCCTTCCATTGAATCTTCTAGGTGTGCCACTGTGCTTGGTATATAGTAACTTTATTGACTACAGCTGATAAATGAAGCTTTTATTATAGTTTTTTTTTGGGGGGGGGGAGGGTGATATAGTCCTCCATTACTCACACATGCCTTGAACATGGAAGTGGATTTCATGCTTCCTTAGTTGAGTGCATACTGGAGTTCCTTTTTACGTCCTGGCTGTTGTTCATCTCATTTGTTTTACTAACTAAAGGGTCTGCAGTCACTCAGAGATTCACCAGTCTGGAAGCTAATACATTTGAACAAAAAGAGGCTTTATTAAGTAATAGCCAGGACCATGGATACTGGCCAGGTCTATATCCGAGACTCCTGCTTAGAATGTGGCTGCAGATTACATTAGTCAGGGATTTATAAAGGCAAAGCTCACAAGGCTACTTACTTCCTGCCTTCCTGCAGTCAAAGGTAAGGCACATCCTTGTGTGTTTCCTGCCTCTGTGTGATGAAGCACACATCTGTTCATTTGGGGCAACCAGCCTTGTTTACAGAAGTGAAAACACGTGGCGTGATATCTTACATGAACAACGCCCCCCAGCATTTTAGAATGTTATCTGTCCTTGGACAAGTGGGGCTCACAGGTTAGAGGCATTTTTGTTTTATAGATCTCTTCAGCACAGTAATATAAACTTAAAATGTAACATTAGACATCATGTTTAATGCACTTGAACTATTTTTTAAGTACAGTTCTTCACCTTTCAGGGGGAAAAAAAGTGTCTTGAAAGCTGTGCATGGTATTGCATACCTTTAATCCCAGAGCTAAGGGAGGCAGAGGCAGGTGGATCTCTGAGTTCAAGACCAGCTTGGTCAACATAGGGAGTTCTAGAAGAGCCAGGGCTACATAGAGAGACCATGTCTCAAATGCCCCTGCCTCACCTTCCCCCTCCCGCAGTGTATTTCACTATAGGAGCAGTAGATCTGATTTTAGTCTGTCTGGGTCTTACAAGACTGCTCTGTAGTCTACCCGTATTTTCTGTTGTCCTCTTAGAAAGCTTGTGATACTGTCTTTCCTTATTGCTTTGTTCATGTGCATCATCTGCGGGTAGCAGCCCGCAGAGTCCAGAAGAGGGTATTGGACCTCATGGCACTGGTGTGGCAAGTGGTTGTGAGCCACCATGTGGGTACTGAACTGAACCTGAGTCATCTACAAGACAGCCTGTTCTCGTAACCGCTGGCCATCGATCCAGCCCTAACACTTAGTTTTCTTAAGTAGAAAATAAAGGGTTCCCATTGCTTTGTTTCTGATATTCTAACTCTTTTGTTTTCTGTAATTTTTTTTTTAATCACTTCGTAACCCAGGCAGCTCTGAACTCTAACTTTATTTATTTATTATGTATACAGTATTCTGCCTACATGTGTCCCTGCAGGCCAGAAGAGGGCACCAGATCTCATTATAGGTGGTTGTGAGCCACCATGTGGTTGCTGGGAATTGAACTCAGGACCTTTGGAAGAGCAGTTGGTGCTCTTAACCTCTGAGCCATCTCTCCAGCCCTTGTTTGTTTGTTTGTTTGTTTGTTTGTTTTTAAAGACAGGGTTTCTCTGTGTGGCCCTGGCTGTCCTGGATCACTCTCTGTAGCCCAGGCTGGCTTCAAACTCATAGATCTGCCTGCCTTTGCCTCCTGAGTGATGGGATTAAAGTGTGCGCCACCACTGCCCTGCTTCCTTTTTTCTTATATGATTGAAAATATTAAAACACTTTTCCATATTAGGCATTACACAGAGAAACCCTGTTTCAAAAAAACCAAACCCAAATCCTACTTTTCCAGTATTGATTTCTTGGTTCTCTGTGGTGGTATTGTATTCCCCAAAATATTGTGCACCCTAATAAATAAATCTGGGGTCAGAGACAGAACAGCCACAATATTAAACATGAGGATAGGCAGTGGTAGCACACGCCTTTAATCCTAGCATTCCAGAGGCAGAAATCCATCTGTTCAAGGATACAGCCAGACATGGTGACTCACGCCTTTAATCCCAGGGAGTGGTGGTAGAAAGCAGAAAGGTATATAAGGCATGAGGACCAGAAACTAGAAGCATTTGGCTGGTTGAGCATTTGGCTGGTTAAGCTTTTAGGTTTTGAGCAGTTCAGTTCAGCTGAGATTCATTCTGGATGAGGACTCAGAGGCCTCCAGTCTGAGGAAACAGGATCAGCTGAGGATCCGGCGAGGTGAGATAGCTGTGGCTTGTTCTGGTTTTCTGATTTTCCAGTTCACCCCAATACCTGACTCAGGTTTGATTTTATTAATAAGACTCTTTAAGATTCATGCTACAGTTCTCCCTAACTGTACTTAGAAGTATATAAGAGACCCTGCTTCTCGCAGAGTGTCAAACTCATTTATTTCTTCATGAAGACTTGGATACGAGGAGATCAGGCTAGGTCTAAAGTGTTAGATTGAAGACCAACTCTCAGGCACTGCATTTTGAGCAGAGATATGGGTGAAAAGGAAGCTCTAGCATTGCAGAACAAACAAACATTGCAGAACAAACGAGGATGCCTGCCCGCTGGGATGGGGCAGACACAAGCGTGCATAAAGAAGAGCAGGGAGGAGGGAGCCGTGTCCTGATAGCTGCAGCAGCGGTTGTCGGCGTAGGCCAGTCTGTGGTGGGACAGCCGTCCGTTCGGAAGGGCTGAAGAGAGGCTAAAGAAGAAACTGGCGACAGTCTTGGAGACTTTTGGCTTGAGACAGGGTTTCTCTGTGTAGCCCTGGCTGTCTTGGAACTCACTGCGTAGACCAGGCAGACTTTGAACTCACCGAGATCTGCCAGCCTCTGCTTCCCAAATGCTGGGATTAAAGGCGTGCACCACCATCCCTTGGCCATAGACTTTTTACAAAAGGAATCTGGTAACTAGCTGGTGCATGGAAAGTAGAATATGATGAGACAGATAAGCGGATGGTATTTATATATCGTGGAATGAATTCAAAGGAAGAGAAAGCTGCACAGTGTCGGAGAGAAGAAGGAATGGGTCCAGTGTAAGAGAGTGCAGTGGTTGATGGGTGTACTATAACCCCACTAGAGTGCTGGAACAGGGGAGAAGCAGTTGTCGGCCACGGGTTTGAAATTATAACAGCAGGGAGTGAAAATGAGGATAGTATCGATCCATGGTATGGTTGAGGAAAAGGTTTCATTGTAGATATGAGGAAGAGAACAGCCAGGGGCATCTGGAAGAGTCCAGACTGAACATGGCCAGCAGAATAGACCAGGGCCCTGAGAGGAGAGAGGAAGAGAAGAGGGGCCAAGGGGCACCTAGCCTGAATGGATGAGTCATAGGAATTGGAAGGGAAGCCTGGAGAGGTTTAGGGTAGCGGGGCGGGGCGGGGCGGGGCGGGGCGGGAATTGCTGGGAGGAGCCACAGGTATTGAGTGATTCTTGTCCTGGTTTCTTTGGTATTTGATGGGTGGATGCATATCTGATAAATATCCAAACTTTAAAACAGTGCCTAAAGTACCCTTTTCTAGAGAGAAGTACTTTTAATACTATTTTTGAGAATCTTTCCAGGTGTTTTCTGTGCATGTACAAATGTGTGAATAATTCTTTATTCTCCCAAAAGAAAATTGTTTGTGGTGGGGCGGTAGTGGTGCACACCTTTAATCCCAGCGCTTGGGAGGCAGAGGCAGGCGGATCTCTGTGAGTTCGAGGCCAGCCTAGTCTCCAAAGCGAATTCCAGGAAAGGTGCAAAGCTACACAGAGAAACCCTGTCTTGAAAAACAAAAAACAAACAAACAAACAAAGTATTACTTACTCATCAGTTTAAAGGATGGTTCTCTTTCTTTCATTTTAATATAGAATTTTAGAAGTGATGTTTTTGGGGGTTGGAGAGATGGCTCAGTGGTTAAGAGAACTTGACTGTTCTTTCAGAGGACCTGAGTTCAATTCCCAACAACCACAATATGGCTCACAACCATCTGTAAATGGGATCTGATTCCCTCTTCTAGTATGCATGAAGACATTATATATAAAATACATGAATAAACAAGTTTTTAAGATGACTTGGTGGTGGTACATGGCACACCTTTAATCCCAGCACTTAGGAGCCAGAGACAAGCCGATCTCTGAGTTATGAGGCCAGTCTGGTCTACAGAGCGAGTTCCAGGGCTACACAGAGAAACCCTGACTTGAAACAAACAAACAAGAACCCAAAAAAGCATTAAACAAAAGTTTTTATTTTATGTGTATATCCTCATTTATTTAGATAAATTCATATTAATCGTCTGACCTTTTCTGTTCTTTTGCTATTACAAATAACAGTCAACTAAAGTATCTTGGCATGCATATGCATTTGTTTATGTCTATCCATGTTTGTTCTCTTTATACAACTATCAGTAATATAAAATTTTGGAAGTAAATTGCTGGGTCAGGGAGACTGTAAAATTGCATTTCTCCTTATTCCAGTTTATTCCAGTTTCTTAATTCTGACCTACTTTAGCTGTCTAGGGTAGTGTCTTCGTTAAATTCCTATTGCTGTGAAAAGATACCATGACCATGGCATCTCTTACAAAGGAAAACATTTAATTGAATTGATGGCTTACAATTCAGAGGTTCAGTCCATTACCATCATGGCGTTGTGCGGGCAGACACAGTGCTAGAGAAGTAGCTGAGACTCCTACATCTTGCAGGCAACAGGAGGGTGCTGTCTTGAGCATATAAGAGATCTCAATGCCCACTTCCACAGTGACACACTTCCTTCATAAGACCACACCTACTCCAGCAAAGCCACACCTCCTAATAGTGCCACTCCCTTTTAGGGCCATTTTCTTTCAAACCACCCAGGTAACTTTAACTAGGGCTGTAAAGCGAGCCCGAAGCCTGGGAAGAGGAACCGAGTTTAGATAGGACTCCTCCTAGATTGAATTCTCTAGTTTTGTTCTTGGTTTTTGTAACTGTGCTCTCTGATGTTTGCTAAGAAAGATGAATTATAAACAAAGTCGAGGAGAGGAGCTGGTTCCAGCCCTGGTGAGCCCCGCCTCCTACTCTTTCTTTAAGTAGAATCTTCTGCCTTTCAAAATGCATGTGTCCCCTTCTCAGGAAGAGCCAGATGTGAGGGTGCTTTCTAGGAATTCCAGCTCTTCTACAAAGCAAATTCAAGGTGTAGCTGGAGTTTTCCTGCTTTGCCCACAGTCAGGACAAATCTTTGTC